GCACAGACGGCTCTCTTATGCAACGCTTCCCTTGGCTTTCCGACGAGTCTCTGGAGACTCTGCTTCTGATTTTAAGGGAAAACAAACCTACCTCGCTTTTGGCCACCCTCGCTTCCAAGGGATACCAAACGATGCCAAACTACGGCCTGTACTGGTCAGGCCGCTTGACGAGGAGGCGCGTGGTATGACTTGGTTTTGCCTGGAAGCGAAAGCGGGGTAGGTAATTCACGCTCTGAGATTTACATGACCACGGGAATTTCGTCCCTGAACCCCCGCCCAGATCCACTTGATCGTCGCCATGCCGCTCCCCAAGCCCGTGGATGGGCTTCGGCCCATCGGCATGTCTTTATCGGGCCCCTCAGCCTCTGGGGGCGGCCGCGCAGACCCTTGGCGACCCAGTGGGAAAACCAGAACCGCAGACCGTGGCTCGCTGCGGGGGAGTGCAAGGGGTCGACGGACACGGTCTGGAGGCAATCCCTGATGAGTGAGGCAGGGATCGCTCCAGGCCAATGTGCGGTGACCCTCTTGCGGGATTGTTGCGAATACTATGAATCTCGATGGGGTGCTGGATCGATGCCTCCGATAAGGCTTTGCAATATGAAGGACCCGGATTGCTGGGGGTACCGACCTCCTCGTCACCTCAGTCTGCGCGGAGCCATCAATGTTGCCATGTACGCCCAACATGTTGTCGCGGGCTGCCCGTTCGCCACCACTTTTACTCGGGTCAACTTCCTCGAGGGTCCCGACTCGATACTCTGGCATCCGTGCGTGGACTACAACCTCCACGTTGATGACAGCGGGGTTCATGCTGTGGGACAATACTTACAACATTTAGAGGGTACGATCCAAGGGTCGAGACAACTGCTACGACTGATAAGCGACGATATCGGCGCTACGCTTTCCGAAGACAAGGCGGCCCTTCGAACCGTGCCCTGGGACAATACATTCAGAAACATGTTGAAGCTTCTTAGACGGGCCCGATTTGGCCACCCCGAACCTAGGCATCGACGCCTCAAGTATCGCGACACTGACGCGAAGGCCAAGAAGCGACGAGCCGCTACCGCTATGCGTATACGCCGCCCGGGTACGCTCACGCGAAACGTCGTCGTGCCCGCAACATCGGGGTGGCGGGACCTCTGCCCACTGCCTCGTACGGGGCCGACATTTTTGGCGTGTCGGACTCGGAGCTGCTGGGACTCAGGAGGCCTTTGGCTTCTGTTTTGAAGCCCTCGGCGGTGGACAAGTCCCTTCCGATGTTACGGTTGTTACCTTGACCCTACCTGGATTGTGCAGGTTTCACCGATCGTTCGGTGGCACAAAGAGGTCTGGAACATCCACTGGGGAGTCCTTCTTTCGACCTTCCGTTCTTTACATGCCTCAGGGAATCCCAGAACGCGATGTTCAGCAAAAAGCTTCGACACCAGAGAAGTGTTTCGGGCCCTTGGTCGGCCATGAGAAAATCGCTCGAGCGACTGCGTTGGTATGTGGAGGACTTCGTGCTGTTGTTACGGACCAGGTGGACGAAGTGTCCTTGACCCTGCAAGCGCCTGTCATGCTCAGGCTTCTTCTGCGAGGCGCTGTTTCTCGACGGCTGGAGCGCGGGATAGGTTCCAAGAACGGGTTTGCCCAGCGCGCTTGCTTTGACGTGGGCGCGCGCCACCTCGCTCCAAAGAAATACGCGCCATTGCAGAGAGGAGCTCTCAGGTCAAGATGTACGGGGGCCCTGTGGACCAGGACCTGCGCTGTTTCCAAAGGATATCAGTACTCGAAGCTTTGCCCCTTGGGATGTGGTCAAAGAGACACACTTATTCATCGCATTTGGAAATGCGCTGCTGTCAAGGAGCCCCGTCTAGCAATTGCCGACCAAGACTTGCTCGATGAACTGGACAGCCTCATCGAGTATAAGAACCTTCCGTTCGCTGTCGCTCGAGGGGGGCTGCCGCGCCCAGGAGGTACGTGCCCCGCCCCGTGTTAGGAAGGGTCCTGGGAGACCACGCGGTTCGGGGAGCCCCCCCCCCTGACCCCACCCGGATCCAAGGACAATGTTTTGTAGATGGGTTCGTGCAACAGACACATCAGTGAGGAGCTGTGCCGTGCGGCGTGGTCTCTCTCTTTCTCTCTCTCTCTCTCGAAAGTGCTACCGCTCTCTCCGTCGTTGAAAGAGGAAAGAGAGGTTGTGTATCAATCTGTCCCGAAACCTGTCCCCTGTCGCGAGGCCAAGCTGCTGTGCTCTTTTGAATGGATCGCTGCCGGGGATCTACTGACCCAGGTCATTCCAGAGAGAGGCCTTGCAGGATCCTGCACGCAGGCCCGGGTCAATGCGCCCCTGGCCCTGCAGGATCCTGCAAGCTCCAGCGCTCCTACGGACCCCCGTTTGCACTGACCCCCGCCCCTCAAGCCCCGACGCCGGCCTCTGGCGGTGCGCCTGGTGCTGCCGTGCCACGCGCCGAGCCTCACGACTGACCAACCCGAAGACCCCAATTTCGGGTTGGGGGGGTAC